AGTTCAACTGTCCACGTTATTCCGTCGTTTGCATGGATCGGTAGAAATCGTCGCGCCTCCGGAATTGCCGCTCTTCTTAAGAAAATCAAAACTTCCATCTCACGCAATATACCCTTCAAAACTACTCTTAATTTTACATGCAACTGAACATCCTATGTTAAAAGTTGTGGGTTTTCCCGATGACTGTTGGCAAATTTTATTAGCCGGAGACTGTTTCGTCCGGCTAGGCGTATCTCATGGGGTACGTCACCTACAGCAAGTATTTTGGTCAAAAGGTCAGCGACCACCGTTTAAGATACCGGGGCTTCAAGTTAGTTCTATGCAGCCAGATGGACTAAACAGCGTAGCCTGAAAAGAAAGGGACCAGCACTTCATTTCGATCATGTATTTAAGTAGACAGTCCCTCCCTCTTTTACATTAAGACACAATACATGCGGAGTATCAACTTGGGCAGCGATTCTCTAAGTGCAAGTGTTAAGTTCCGACCGTGTAGGGGGGCTACGACCTAGTTAAAGTTATCTGATCATATATAACTTCGGCAATGATACTAGATGAGAGGCAACAAACTTGAGCTAAGTAAAATTAAGATAAAGCATTCGCTTTTTGAAAGAAAAGAGATAGGCCATGAAGAAGGCAGTTACTGTCCACAAGTACATGCGGTAATTGTCGAACCTCCGGGATAGAATAGGTCCTTAGACAGTGCCAACACTGATGGAAGCAGCACAGAGTTGCAGACCAGATGCGCAACTACAAACGGTAGCATGGTGCCGTAGGGGCAACTAATTTGTCAACTACTCACTATCCGAAACCCAAACCTTATTAGAAGTCTAAAAAAGTCTAATAATAAAAAGCATAGCAGGCACAAACAGCCTACAAGATTTAGCGACGAATCCGGAGACACTGGTGTAGCCATTTCTAACTTCTTAGTTAGCATTCGTCAGTAATACCCCTAATGTCCTGTGCCGGCGCCCATTAGGCTTGAACTAGAGTGTGTTGAGCTTCCAACAAGGCTCCCAGTCTTATGCTTCGGATTCATATCAAATTGACCGAAGTCGGGAATATCCAGTCGCAGAAGTAGTTAGGGCAGTGGTCCTATGCCCGTGGGACTGACTGTCAGTGACGGTGCGAGCGTCTACCTGAACTGTCAGATCCCCAACCGAAACGCGACGCGGAATACCCTCTACTGCATTTTGCAACCAGAGGAAATTGATACACATCACACCTACACTAGCAGATTTGTGTAATAACAGAAATGTCAAAACCCTCGTCTTAAAAGGGCACAATTCACGCCCTTAAAATATGACATGAATTACACTTAGAAATACTAAAAACCATACAACTGAATAACTGCCTTGAGACGTACCCTTAAATAAGGTCGATCCACCTGAGAGAACAATGTTTTCATACATGAGGCGTCGGAGGTCCATGTCAGACTTTTGAATGGAGTAGGCGAGTACCTATGGTAAAGAGAGAGCAAAAGTTAACTCTATAGGTAAGAAGTGCAACAAACTCTACCCGAAAGCTGCAATGCAGAAACAACAGCAAGCCCTTTAAACAAATTTGTTAACCCCTTCAAAAACAGAGACTCTCGAAGGTAGGATGTAAAAGTGCTGTTTTGATTAAATATCCGTATTGAGTGATCCCAACTGAGAACAGAACACTAAATAAGCGGGAAAATACTACACAGTTTAGACAAAAAAGTGTCGGAACTAAGCAAGATCATAAAAGAGCAAGATTTCGCTTTTTAGCAATAAGCAGATGTAATGCGACCTAAACCTACATGTGCCAAAGATGGCAGGTAACATGACCTTGAGCAGATAGCAAACTTAGCAATCCGTTCCTTGAAATCAAGTTACTGATGGTGGCGACCAGAATTAGCATGCAGGAAAATGCACTAGCGCAGTTGATCTGCATGAAAGATTTGTCCTATCATTTGGCTTAAGCTACGGTGCTTCTACACGCAGGCACGTAGTGCAGATCAAACATTAAGTGAGGAAATATCGAGTGCATGATAAGTTGCACAAGACAACCTAGTAAAACCTGAACGATGATACGGTGATAATTCTAGCTAAGTTCAGCTTTTTCGTGCCTTTAGAAACTAATTTCTGTTCTCGGCATAGGTGTATAGGCATAGACCAAAATTCGATGTGCATATTTGGGCCAAACCGTACTAGCTTCCGTAGGATAACCGCGTAATATACACATACTGCCAACGTGTAGACAGTAGTATTACATACTTATGTTGTAATTCACCCTACCCAGCGATGAGTTACACTCCTTTTTAGCTGTGTCAAACAGTATAATATCGGCGAAACACTGTCCGGGCCTTTTTAGCTAGTACCTGGGCTGTTAATGTGATAAATTAAAACACAATGCTAGTTTAAAAAGCATATTTCTCGATAAAAGACGGTGCAGGTAGACGGTGTTCGCATTTTAAATGTAAATGCCTTCTTTCATTCCGTTCAGTCAACAAACGAGAATGCTGTTTAACTTATCTGAACAAAATTTTGCTCTGACTCCTTTGTTGTTGACAAATATGGGTCAGACTGCGGGACGACTTAGCATACCTCAGAGCGTAGAAAGTAAGTTATTTCGTAAAGCATGACTGTTGAAAGCCAGACATGAGTATTGCTGATAAAAAAACAGCAGCAGGTGTAAAGGGCA